CAGAGAATTGTTAGGGGGGGGTAGAGAGTAGAGTAGTGAGGGGGATGTGGGAAAGGGGAAGAAAGGGGGGAGAGGGGGAGATAAGTAGAGAAGAAATAAGGAGGGTGACGAGGAACCTGAAGGATGGTAAATCTATGGGGGTAGATGGGGTACCGAATGAGGTGTGGAAGTATGGTGGAGAGGGGTTAGAGGAATGGGTATGGAAAATGTGTAATGAGGTATGGAAGGGGGAGGGATGGCCGGAGTTATGGAAAGAGGGAATGGTAGTGCCATTGAAGAAGAAAGGTCAGGGGAACGATGTTAGGGATTATAGAGGGATTTCAATTATGCCGACGTTATACAAGGTGTACACTGCGGTGTTGGCGGAAAGGTTGAGGGAGGAAATAGAGGGAAAAGGTATGATTCCACCGAATCAAACGGGGTTTAGGAAAGGGTTGGGAACTTTAGATAATATTTATGTGATAAATTATTTAGTGGACAGGCAGTTAGGGAAAAAAGGGGGGAAATTAATTGCGTTATTTGTAGATTTAAAGGCGGCCTTTGATTCGGTGGATAGGGGGTTTTTGTTGGAGGAGATGAGGAAGAGGGGGGTTAGGGAGGGTTTAATAGAGAGGGTAGGGGAGATTATGTGGGAGACGAAATGCAGGGTGAGGGGAGGGGAAGGGAAGGTGGGGGGATGTTTTTGGACGGCAAGGGAGGTTAGACAAGGGTGCCCTTTGAGCCCCTTGTTGTTTAACATTATGACAGCGGATTTGGAGGAAATGGGGAGGGTTAAATGGGGAGGGGTGAAGCTAGGGGACAGGAGGATTTATGGGTTGGCGTATGCGGACAATGTGGTGTTATTGGCGGAAGGAGAAGGGGAAATGAGGAGTATGATAGAAAGTTTAGAGGGATATGTGGATAGAAAAGGATTGGAAGTGAACAGGGAAAAGTCGAAGATATTAAGATTTAGGAAAGGGAGGGGGGGGGGGGGGGGGGAAGGGACAGTAAGGTTAGTTGGACTTGAAAGGGAAGGAGATAGAGGAGGTGAAGAAATTTAGATACTTGGGTTACACTATGCAGAGGAATGGGGGTCAAAAGGAACATGTGAAGGAGAGAGTGGAAAGGGCAATGGCGATAATGGGGCAGGTGTGGGGGATAGGAAAGAGGAGGTTTGAGAGGGATTGGAAAAGGAAGATGTGGTTGTTCGATAAATTGGTTTGGTCGGTGTTAGGATATGGGGCGGAAATATGGGGGTGGAAGGAAAGGGAGAGGGTAGAAAGCTTGCAGGAGAGGTATATAAAGTGGGTACTAGGGGTGGATAGGGGAACTCCGGGTATATGGTGAGGGAGGAGATACAAAGGGAGAAAATGAGGGTGAGGGCAGGGAAAAGGGCATGGGCATTTGAAGAGAGACTAAGAGTAGGGAGGGGAGGTGAGCT